TAAAGAAGAATGAATTAAAGTTCCCAACTGGGAAGACAGTGAGAGTGAGCAGTGCCTCCAGCCCTTTGGGGAAAATTCACTTTCCCATTCCACCTCCCAGGGAGGACACTAAGGAAGTATTTTGCAAAGCCAAGCAAAACGTGCTGGAAGAGAGGAAATTTGGTCAGTAAGCTGGACCAGGAGGGAAGGCTGGAGAGAGGGACAGAGCTGCTGGAGAAAAAGAGAACTTCAAGGACTCCTGGTGCTGGAAGAAAGACTGGAGAGGACGTCTCAGCGGAATTATTTCCCTTACCGTGTCAGACTCTGCTGTTTGCCCACACAAAAGGAGTCCTCCAGAAGGATCTTCCTCCAGCTCCTGCTTCAGCTCCAAATGATTTCTGATCTCCTAAAGAACAGCATAAGAGGTGGAAGAGGCAGCCAGACCTGCAGCTGCCCTGTCCCCCTTGATCCTCCACCGTCACCGGAGGATCCCCAGCAGCATCCCCTTGGTGCCTCCCACCCTTCAAGTCCTCCCAGTCCTCAGTACTGTGGATACTCCTCTCTCTCCCTCCATCCTCCTTGGTTAAGGTCACAAACAGCTCCTCCCACCAGCCTGTCTGACCATGGAAATAGGATTCAGCCCCAGAGAAAACGCCCCAGGGACAAAGTGTCTCAAAGCTGAGCTCAGCACTCAGATCTCATGCAAGAACAACTGTATATCCCCTAACAGGGGAAGGATCTCAGAGAGGCAGACAAAAAACTATGTTAGAAAAACTTAACAATTTTGTCACTTGTTGCTCTCATCTTTTTGAATGTTTAAATTTGTTTCCTGTGATCTTCTTTGTTTTGGGCACACTGAAGCAAAACTGAGCAGCATCAGGGAAGAACCAACAGCTGGGTCCAAGGCTCCACAATGGCTGTGGAACTCCCGGAGGACTCACACGCTTCAGCCGTGCACAAAAGCTCCTCTCCTTTCCGAGGCTGCAAGGCAGCACACGGGGAGTAAAATCAGAGTTCCTCCTGATTTCCTGCACTTGCCCTCCATCATTT